ATTACACCTGACGGCCTTTATCAGTTTAACGTAATGCCGTTTGGTCTCTGCAAAGTCCCCGCAACCTTTGAAAGGATCATGGACACGCTGCTCCGCGGCCTCACTTAGAATGTATGCCTGTGCTACCTTGACGATGTCGTCGTCTTTTCAGGGACGTTTAATGAACAGGTGCACCACCTCAAACAAGTGTTTAATTGCTTCCGGTCCGCCCGCCTACAGTTAAACTTCAAGAAAAGCACATTTGGAACTCAACTACTAAAAGTACTTGGGCATCTAGTAAGCGGTGATGGTATTCGCCCAGATCCTGACAAACTTCGAGCCGTTTCAGGATTTCCTACCCCGAAAGTTCAAAAGGACGTCCGTGCTTTTCTTGAATTGTGCACTTATTTCCGCAAGTTCATTCCTGGCTTTGCTCACGTTGCTGAACACCTTAATCAGTCAGCTCCTTCGCACCAACACCAAATTCGAATGGGGACCATCACAAAATCAGGCGTTTGGATCCCTAAAATTGACTTTGACAAGCAGTCCCATCCTCGGTCACTTTACCCAAGGAGCCGAAACCGATATACGCACCGACGCAAGTGGACACGGCATCGGAGCAGTCTTGGCCCAGAATTCTAGAGGCACCCAACAGGTTATCGCATACGCAAGTCGCACCCTCACACCAGCTGAGCGAAACTATACTATCACTGAAAAGGAATGTCTGGCTGTTATATGGGCCATATCAAAGTTCCGTCCCCATCTCTATGGCATTCATTTTCGCATAGTGACCGACCACCATGCCCTCTGCTGGCTCGCCATTCTTGAAGACCCGTCAGGCCGCCTCGAAAGATGGTCTCTCAAACTTCAAGATTACAACTTCACCGTCCTCTACAAATCAGGAAAAAGACACCTGGATGCCGACGGCTTGTCCCGGTGCCCCCTTCCAACAGCCTCTCCTCTCCAAGACTCACGCATTTCCCTCGCAACGGCTCCTCTGACCCATGTTGACATTGCCGCTGCCCAGATGGCTGATCCTTTCCTTAAGCCAATAATTGAATATCTTCGTGGCACAAACCTACATCCCCTTCAACGCACAGTACGCATGGCGCGTCTATTGGCGCTTCACAACGGGACGACTCTATTCAGGCAAAACTATGAACCGCAAGGACGACCCTGGCTTCTTGTCATTCTCCGTTCCCTTCAAAAGGACATTATTCGCGCTAATCATGACGACCCAACTTCCGGGCATCTCGGCTTCTCCAAGACTTATTTCCGAGTTCGAGCCAGTTACTTCTGGAACGGAATGTATCGCGATATCAACAAATACGTCCGATCATGTCACGACTGCCAAACAAGAAAACACCCAACGACAAAACCACCCGGAACACTTTACTCGCCTTCACCACCTAGCTACCCCTTCCAAAGAATTGGAATTGACTTCTTGGGCCCATTTCCCACGCCTCCAAACAACAATCGATGGGTCATTGTAGCCATTGGCTACAATACCCGCTATGCTGAAACTAAGCCAGTTCCTGATGCTACCGCAAGAGAGGTTGCGAACTTCTTTCTGAACTCCATTCTGCTACGCCACGGCGCTCCACAGTCAGTCACAAGTGACCGAGGCACGCCCTTTATTGCCAAACTTCTCAATGAAGTCCTGCAGCTCGCAAGTACAGTCCATCATGTAACAACTGCTTACCACCCGCAGGCTAATGGGCTCACCGAGCGACTGAACCATACACTAGCAAGCGTGATGTCAATGTATGTTGAAGAAAACCACACCGACTGGGACGCAATCCTTTCTTTTGTCACTTACGCGTACAATACCGCCCGACAAACAACTACAGGATTTTCGCATATTATCTTTTATACGCTCGTGATCCACTCACGAGTCTCGACACTGTTTTGCCATACGTGGAAAATTGTTCGGATCCCTACACATCTGACGTCGTGTCCCGAGCCCAAGATGCCCGCCAACTTGCCTGACTGCAAACTCTGCAGTCCCAACAACAACACCCCCTTCGCCATGCGGACACTCACATACCAGTCTTTTATAATGTTGGTGATCTCGTCTTGCTCAAGACACCATTTCGCCAAACCGGCAAATGCGAAAGGCTCCTAAAAACGTTGTTGGGCCGTATCGCATTGTTCGTTGCCTTTCCGATATCAATTACGATATAGTGCCCGTGACCCAGCCCCGCGACCGTCGCTCGAGGTGTTAGGACATCGTTCACGTGGATCGTATGAAACCGTACATCTGCTCAACCTAACCAACACCCCAGTGCCGGATGACTGTCCCTACCACCACGGGGGGGAAATGTTACGAAGACGACGACAACGGACACTGTCGCGAAAGACGAAAAGGAGCCCGCGCAGTTGTGTTGCACGAACTGGGGGTTTTCTTCAGGCATATTTGTAGCAGCCATCGCTGCTGTTTTTTAACAGATCAGCCTCAGATATATATATATCATATTCACCCTCATAATATGCATATATATATATATATATATATATATATATATATATATATATATATATATATATATATATATATATATATATATATATATATATATATATATATATATATATATATACATATATATATATATATATATCAGGGATGGGCAGTATTTCAAATACAAGTATTTGAAATACGTATTTCAAATACTTTGTGTATTTTGCATTTGTATTTAACTACAAATTGGGTAATGTATTTGACGTGTGTATTTATATACTAAAACGTGGGTATTTCAAATACAATTGTAATTAAATACAATTGTGTGGGCGAAAATACATCCCTCAAATTTATTGTCACGACTCATTTTGCTCATCCTAAGACGTGCCCAGAGCAGGGAGAAAACTATGTTCTGCACCGAATGCAGTGTCTCCCAATCAAGCACAGGCGTTTAGTGACTTTGTGATTACGGTGCCAGTCCAGGGCAAGAATAGAACCGAAATCGACATTCACAGGCAAACTGGCTAATTAAGTGCCTGTGACCACTTGTGATGCTTTCCAGCTTGATTTCCATCCATATATTTGCCTGGAACATTCTAAATGCGTGGGTCGTCCAGATTTCCGTAACTGGTGCGAGTTGCAACAATAAAAAATTCTCTGGCTAGTTCTGCACGTCTTGGTCGTCTCGGTTTTTTGTTGGTCTATACCAAAGTGTAATCGACAAAAAAAGCTGCTTGAAGCTCTGTACTTTTTCACCTATTAAGTCCAAGCTGATTACGTTTTTTTGTGATTATGTTTCTATTACATTACTAGAGCCTTACACACTAACTCCCGAGTGTGCGACGCAAAATTAAAATGAGATACCCAGAAACCCGTTGCAGGTGCCCTGAAGTAGCTGACGCCAATTTTGAGGAATGTATTTGGAAAAGTATTTGGAGGAGACCAAATACATTTGGTTGTATTTGTATCTTGTACTTAAATGCTTTTTTGGAAATGTAATTAGATATGTAATTAAATACATTTTTGACAAATTATTTTGTATTTGTATTTCGATACATATTTGCATGTATTTTGCCCATCCCTGGTATATATATATATATACATATATATACTGCAGGGGGGCCTGAAAACTCCCCTGCAGTAGTGTGAAATAAATCAATCATATGACACCATGATAACTTTTGACGTCACCGTCATGTAACCTCGTGACGTCACACACAGACAGCATGCGCCAACTTCTAAGTTCAGTTGTTGAACTCCCAGCATGGGATCTCCACAACTGAACTAATCTTGTAGTTGGCACATGATGCCTCCATGCAGGGGGGTACCCTTTCCTCATTTTTTTCGTTCCGCCTTTCGTTGTTTGAAGCGCCATGTAGATGCTAGTTGCAAAAATGGGCAGTCCATAAAGTACGGTAAAACGCCATCTAGTCGCTATCCATCAACATGTATGAATTCCAGAGTGTACAGTGCAGTTACCAAAGCAACTGCCCCCCGAAAAAGGTGGCCCGTCCAATGACGGGAGGCTAATACCCCTTGATAAAGGTGTTTTTTTTTACAAGTACCGCCAACCACTGGTATGAAAACCCGTAAGACACGTGCCCCTAGCGGGTGCTCCGCCGCCCTTCGCTTCCAAGGGCCACTCAGTTCAGTGCTGCGCGGCCATTAGCTTTCAAGAACCGCTCAGACACGGGCCTTGCGCACTGGCGCGTTTGACCAACACCACCTAGACATACGGCCTCCGCGCGCGTCATCACAGTCAGATCGATCGAGGCGTGTGATTGGGCACGAGTGCTGCCTCAGTGTTCGACTGGGACTCGTGTACCAATCAGCACTTCAAACGTCGGGCTCGGGCCCAATAGCCGAGTTAGCGCGATCCGACTCTGATGACGCTTCATAGGGGGAGAGCAGAGGCCTTCTGTCTAGGTGGGGTTGGTTTGAAGCTACTTGTAAGACAAACGCGAACCCATCTAGGTGCTTTGCGGGAGGCTAGAACCCCTCCACGTGTTTGCGTTTGTCATGCGAGTAGCGTCAAACGCGCCAGTGCCCGAGGCCCGTGTCTCGAGCGGCTCTTGAACGGAAATGGCGGCGCAGCACTGAAATGAGCGGCCCTTGGAAGCGAATGGCGGCGGAGCACCCGCTCGTAGCACCTGTCTTGCGCGTTTCGACAATGATGGTTGGCGGCACTTGTAAGCGTGAATTCTATCAATGGACTTTTGCGGGGAAACGAGTCATAGGGGAAAGAGAGGGGGCGGGGAAGGGGGAGTGGGGGGGGGGGGGAGGGCGAGTACTGCTTGTGCAAGCAACGTCTATGGGCAGTATCGTAACTGAGCTAATCTAGTAACGTTGGCAACTTCCTAGGTCATGCGCAACACATTGTCTGCCCCCCGTCTTAATCAGCACAACAAAGCTATTGTAAAAAAATAGAGTATTTGAGTGTAGGTGTCTGCGTTTGAAAGTAATGCTAAAATAAAATAAAACGTTTGCCTTTAAAACTCTCTGAACGTGATCTCTTTTAACAAATCAATCTCTAAACTATCACCATTTTTGTGCATTGCAGGTCCCTGCAGTGCTCTCGCCTCCGCGTGCACAAGAATCTAGTGGCGTCACTCATCGTACACTCGGTGTTGCTGGCTGTCATTTCTTTCCCGGCTGTCTTGGGACCGCGATGGACTACGTACAGTCACGTGGTAAGTCATTCGATGAGTTGTTCCCACTAAGTAAATACGCACGTTTGGGTTTCTTTTTAATCTAAAGAACTGTCCTCGGCGGGTTGTACTTGAATGCATTTAGTGCTGAAACGAAACAGCGATCGCCGTCTGTTACTAACCGCCATATTCACTGAGGTCTATTCAGTTATTTCCAAACGCGCTATTGCATTTTAAATTGTAAAACTTTGGCACTCTCAGTCACCTTGACTGCGACCGAAACCTCTTTTTTTTTTTCATAGATGTGAACACTTTGTTTCCTTGAAATATCCGCGGGTGCATGAAGGGTTGTTAACAAAACAAACATGATCTAAATTGAAAAAAAAAAAATCAGTCACTCTTCGCTTCACTACCAGCAGCGGATGCCTCACTACACGACGTTACGCAAAATAAGTAGAGAATAATAATCACACCTCAAACGTGCTGAGCTTCACGTGAGTCGATTATTTATTAATGCGAAAGCATTAACTGTCCCATGGCGCGGAGCGGGCGTTGTCTGTCCACCAAAAACGGCACCTAAGTAACCACTGGCTGAGACGCGCCATATCAGATGCTTCATCACGGAAGCCGGCGGGGCCACTCAAGGTCAAAGAGGACGCGCCTCAGAAATAAAACAAAAAGAAAAGCAGAGCAACGCAGATGCATCGTCACGGAATCCGTGGAGCCGGAGGGTGCACCGCGCCTGCGCAGTGGGGGAGCCTGAGGTCACCGCCGGAGCGCCGTGTGAAAAAGGAAGATGTCGCGCGCTGCTTGTAGGAACGCGCTTCGTGTAGGAATGCTTTTGCATTCCTACACGTAAGCAGTCTTAAGTGTCTCTGCCGAATTTTTTTTTATTATTGTATTTACGAGATACTGCAGGCCAATAATGCCACCCAAGCAACGGTGGACGCAATTGTACGAGAATGTGTTTTGCTAAGGCGGAACACATTTTAAAGATTATTGAAAATTAAACTACATTTTTTCTTCGGGATATTTTGACCGCGGCGGACGTCGTGTTAGGATTGTAATGTGACAATTAGCAATTTATTTGCCTAAAAGCAGTGTTGGCGGTGACGCGTTACTAATAACGAAGTTACGGGTAACGCATTACAATTTTTTCGGTTACGCGTTACGTACACGTTAGAGTTTCGAAACAGTAACGCGTAACGTACTTACGTTACTTATTTGGAGTTAGGGGTAACCTAGTTAAGTTACTTATCACATATTATTCCCGGGAAATAAAACAAATTACACCTCAATGTTTGTCGTGTTTCTGGGCGCCAAGTTAGGTAGATGTTTAATTTTTTTAAAGTTTTGTTTCATTTTTTTTTTTGTAAGTGTTTAAGCGAGACCATAAAAAAGATAAAGTAATTGCGTTCAGTTTGTGCATGAACACATTGTTTCTTGAAATGTAGCACTTATTCAGAGCTGTAACGTCAAAATATAAAACGTGTTAAGTCATAATTAAGAAAGTAACGCAAATGTCACGTGCGCTACTTTTTATCGGTAGCGGTAGCGATAGCGCTTCCCTTTTATTAGAGAGTTTTAGGGAACCGTTTTTGCACATCCGATGCGGTACGATGGGCCCTCCGGTACGAACTGCGCACGCGCTGCCACAGAAGACTCGCCTATGCACAGTTCGCACCGGACGGCACATCCCACCGGATCGGATGTGGAAAAACGGTTCCTTAAAACTCTGTATTTTGAAATAAAGCCAGGTCGGCAACGCAAGCCACTAATTTACTTTCTTTTAATATTAATTTTAGTTCGCACGTTAGATGTGCCTCCCCATGTCAACATATGGCATAACACTCGTGTGACTTCGTACGACACAATTCAGCTCCGCGCTATTCTCTGTCAGATTTATTACGCCGTGAGCGGACGATGCTACCGGTACTAGACGCGGGAAAGTCCACCGGAAGTCCCACCCGGATAAAACCTCAGCCTCCAGCTATGGGTGCGGGTAGCGAAACACTGCGAGCCGTAAACGCTTACGTGGACGCAAGAGAGTCGCGCTCTAACCCGCTGTTTTTTCGGTCGCTCAGTTCCGAGCGCTTTAATTTTGTAAGTTCCGGTATGGTGGGCATTAAGGCAGCCTAACTTTACCATAGAGTAGCCCGGAGCCCAACCTGTACTCTATTTCACCTTATGATGTACCGCAGGAAAGGCTACAAGCGCGAGCTCCCAGCTCTAAGGCACATCTCGGCGGCACAAGCTCTCGTGCATAAAGGGCAGCTGCAAACGCTGTGAGCTCGAGCTTCTAGCCTTCTCTCCGGTACAACATAAGTTGAAACGGAGTATTGTGGTCTAAATTCCAGCAATTGGTATAGCGTATTTTGACAATATACATCATATTTTGACACATCTCTGATTCAGAAGATTCAGAATGCACTTCATATTTAAAACGTTGATTAGCGCATTTAAGTATTTAGTTAACTAGTTGTTACTTAATACTCACGACTTGACTTTTGCCGCGGTCAATAACGTTTTTTTTGTCTAGAAATAATTTATTTATTTCTACTGCAAGTGCGTTTTTATTATTTTTTGTCTGAGAAAAAAACCCTCTGCGTACAGACAATGTATCCAAGATTTATGCCATAAAATAAATAGTGACGATGGATTTAGATAATATAAAAAAAAACAGAAAACAAACATAACACGCTTAAAATAAATGTAACTTTAGCGCTTGACTATCCAAACTAAATATCTAGAGATCTAGAGATTTCATGCTGTTTGTCCAGAAAAGAAATAATATTTGAAAGCTATATAGAGCATTGCTGAAATTGTCAAATGATGCAATGCGCAACCGCCATTAGTTGGTCTCGTCACTTCCGGCGTGTTGACCTTGATTGGTTCCGAGTGCGCGACGAGCACTGACGCAGCACTCGAGTGAAATGTGTTTTGATCTGAGTACAGTCCGAATGCTGACTAAGCGCGCGACTGTCCAATTCGTGCTCACAGCGCATGAGCAACTAATGGCGGCCGCGCATAATCGTTGCATCATTTCGAATTCTTGAAATAGGCCTTTTGAGCGAGCGAGCGTAAGTTATTTTGGAATGATGTTCATGTCTAGTTTGTCTAGCCTGTGATGGCCGAAGGTCCAAGAGACAAGCCGAATTAGTAAAATGAAAGGGATTCTAGAAAGACACTTGATTTTATTAACTTGGTACGAGAGTTATTGTGGCAGTAACAGCTACATATAAAACGTAATGCAAGTCACTGAACTTATTCAAACTTAATTATATGCGTCTTCTTACAAAAAATGAAAGACGTTTACAATCCTCTGTAACGCCAAATTAGAGAGCAGCTCTTGAGGAGGAGCAGGAGCGGAAGGTATGGGGAGGAGGGTAGGCCCCGCCTTCTCATCCGTACCCTCCCCTCCTCCTTTCCTGCTCGCTTCCCATTCAGAGGGAAATTTTCACCAAATTTTCAGCTACATTTTGCGGAAAAGAGTTCCGCTAAATTTAGCGGGGAAGATTTTCCGCTAAATCTAGGGGGAAAATTTTTCCACTAGATCTACAGGGAACATTTTTTCGCTCTATTTAGCGGAAACATTTGCCCTCTATATTTAACGGAGAAGTTTACCCCTAATGCGCGCGCGGTGACATCCCGAGTGATCACTCGTGACCTTCGTAACGTTACACGTAACGTCACGTGTAACATCATCATGGGAAACGTCTCATAATGCATCGCGCGGTTACGCCGACGGCGACGCCAACGCCGACAGCGACGCCACGCCGACGCCGCTCAAGCCGAAAATGGGCGCCTAAGAGCTGCGCTCCAAAAATCATGCAACACAACTATACTTCAAACGTGACCAAATTAGACTCTGATAAGCCATAAGTACCACATTTCAGCTTCTGCACCTTATCCTTCCTTGCTTCCGACGTGCGGATGCACAAACGCAGTGAATGTGAATGGACTAAGATACGTGTGTGTATAGAGTGTAGAGTGTAGCCTTTGAAATTAAATGAAAAAAGGAAATTGCAGTTGGTCCGATACTCCTCAGTGCACGTTCTTGAGGAGTGCTCCGAATTCTCTGCATTGCAAGTTTTTAAGACCAGTTGATTGTTCTACGAAGTGACGATCTGCTAAAACTTTTCATTATCCTCCCATTCGATTACTATCGCACGGAACGAGTGCGAAATAAATTCTTCACACTTGCTTAACTAGTATTGATCAATGTTTTTTCGGGTTCAAGCACGTAGGTATCAGCCCGTTTAGACCAGCAAAAGCTCAAACCTCACGTCGTCTCACACATAAATCAATAGGCCAGACTCAAAGAAAGATTGTTGTTATTCCAGAGCTGTCATATTTACTCTACACTAGTCCTACTTTTTTTTTTTTGTCTTATAACTTTATTGCACTACTCCTACTGCACTTTTTTTTTAGGCACCTGTTATATTTTGGATTATGAATGTATCTTTATCGGTATTGACGCCATCCGGGTTACAATTGACGCGTTTGGAAGATGGTTGAGGTGTTGGCTATTAGCTCTTTGTTTATCTTGATGCAGGTGCCGTGTAACTCGGTATTTCGCTGGTGCATGCCAGAGGCCCGTCGTTGGTTCAAACACACACAAATCTCGGCTCATTTAGATCACTGCTTATGGAAGCAAGTTTCTTTTCCAAGACGAGAACGGCAGCATTAGGTAAAGTGAAGTGTGTGATTCTGTGTGGAGAAAAGTAGCATTAATTACTACGGCAGCTGTTCAGACGGACCTATAGAACAATACATATGAGCTTATTTGTCGGCTGGAAGCTAGCAGGGGAGTCTAATTAATTCTTTTATCCTTTTTTTATGCAATAAATATAAGTCGAATAATGAAATACGTTAGCGGTATTACAATTCAACCCACCAATACCTTATGTTTTTGCATAGCCATCATTTACTTCTGTTTATTGGTTCGCGTTTACGCAGTAGTGTGTCGTTCATTTTGTGTTCTTTCCTGACGAAGGAAAGAGGGACGAAAAATCTACTCAATTCCGCGAACATACCGAAAT